TGCAAACCAGTCAGTTGCAGAGATTTAATTCCAATAAAATCTGTCTATAGAATGGCTATCCTTAATACTGTGCTGTACTACCCATTTACTGAGTTTAAGACGTTTGATAATTTGATGTACTGGGTAAATGTTCCTTGGATGTCTTGGATGATGTTCTTTGATAACTTAGTGAAGTGAAAATGAAAGACTGATCATTCAGCATTAATTGAAAGTTTGCTATATGTCACACCTATCATCTTGATTCCTCAAATATTTTATTGTTCAATAGCAACAAACCATCCCAATTATCAGTAATTTTTTTCCTCAGCAACTAAACAGCAGCATTCCTTTCTCTCCGCTTCCTGGGGACACAATGTGAGGAGCCACCTCTCAGCTGAGAGCTGCCCTTGCCACCATGATTTCCCTCCTATGATGCCCTTAAACCATGAGCCAAAATAATCACTTCCTCCTTTAAGAAGAAAGAAACTTACAATCTTTGTTTAAAAATTTAAACTCTGCCAGGCTTGTTGGTACACACATTTAATCCCACTCACAGGCAGAGGCAGCTGATTGCTGTGAAATCCAAGTCTGCCTGGGAAGTCTACACAGCAAGTTTCAAGCCAGCTGAGAATACATACAAACCCTGTCTCAAACAAAACAAAACAAAACAAACAAACAAAAAACTGAAGTTATTAAAGCAAAACACTTGAAAAAATTAAATTAAATGTGAGGGAAGAAGAATTTTGAAACATTAAGGCATTAAAATAAATTCATTCAGGAAAAATGTGAATTTATACCAAAACTTTTAAAAGTATTTTTATCTTTTCTTTGAAATTTTCAGGTACATCTGTATGAAAATACCATGTATTTTGATCATAACCCTCCTCTACTACCTCTCTCCAATTTCCACTACTGCCCCTAACCTCATCAACGCCCAACTACATGTGCTCATGATTGATGGTAACGATGACCCCTTGAGTCCAACTGGTGCTGTTCACATGCTCATGAGTTTGAGACTACACTGGGTCATGGGCAACCTACCAGTCACCACATCCCCAAAGGACAGTGATGCCTTCCCTCAGCAGCCATTAACTCTTCAAATTTCTACTCCGAAGGGTGGGACCTTGAGGCCCCCTCCTTGATCATGTTGGAAATTAGACTGGCTTGATCTTGTGCAAGTGACCATAGGTGCTATGAGTTGATGTGTGTATTGTTATTCCCAAATTTTGCAATCAAAAATTGAAAAATATCTTCCATAAATATGAGAAAGCATTAACATATTAATATACTAAGAGCTATTATAAATTGAACGGAGGAACAGCACTAACATTCCTATTAAGAATTAAAAATATTTATAAATTCACAAAAGAAACAATAAAGAACAAAAATATGAAAGTCTTTTTTGGTAATACACTTACTAAATAGAAATGCTTTTTTTTTCCAAATAAGGAATCAACAAAGGTAAATAAAAGACAATAAGAAACACAAAATTAAGTACATCTCCTGTTGATGAAGAGTCCATAAAACAAACTCCCTGACTGTATGTCACACTCTGTGCAATATCCCTGCATTCTGACCCATGGCTGCCTTTGTAGAAATTGATTCTGAAAATAGAGTCAGTTGTACACGCAAAAATGCATTCTCAGATAAAGTATGAAAAAAACCCATATTTTCATGACTAAAAAAGTACTTATTCATAGGAATGTGTAATGATTCATAAGAATCAGCA